TCAAATGAACAGATATGGAATGACAAGCAGAGTCGAGAATATAGGAGTCCGCTAACAGTCAGCTGCAACAAGTACAGAAATTCTTTTTCCACTTTTATGATTTTCTGACTGTACAATGTTTGCAGAATTAGAGGATTTTCAACCCTTTGTCACAAGAGCTTCACCTTGCTGTTAGTCAGAATTAGACTTTTGTTGATGGTACTCCAGCAAGGACGTAATAACTTCTTCATAGTTGACCGCGTCAGTTCTGTGCAACAACGTGGTCTTCAAGTGCTCATAGGATTCAGGGAGAGAACATAAAATATACATCCCCTTGTCCTCACCTTCATATTTCACATCTAGCCGCAACAAAGCAGTTAACTGATTGAAGTAATAAAGATGAGAAGCCAAAACAGTAGCTTCGGCCTTCTACAACTTATATGATTTCTTCTTAAGGAACAACTTCAACAACTTGTATGATTTCTACAACTTATATGATTTCTTCTTGAGGAACAACTTCAACACTTGTATGATTTCTACAACTTATATGATTTTTACATATAACGTGATTCTAGTTAAGTCCAAATCTCTGAGGGACACTATAAACCAAGTACACAATACAAAGCACTGTCAACTAAATAGAGTCGAATAATGTTTGCGGCTTTTGGCTGAAGTTGATTCCAATCACCTGGAGTGATATTATGAGGCTTTGTCCCTTCGAGCGTTATAGAAAGATCTGGTGGTATCAATAGATATATTACCCTCATTTGTCATAGGCTAAAATTAGTCGACCCATCAAATTTTCAATGTCAAAATGTGATAGTAAGCGAGCCATCTTTGATTCTAGCAACCCCGTGTTCTCTAATACCAAATCTAAGTAGATAGAACAATGAGAACAATAAGAGAGACATTTCTTATTTGTCGAACGCAAAGGATCGAGAAAATATCAAGTTGAGAAACGAAGAACTCTAGAAAAGAGAGAGCTTTGTGTAGGACAAAGATACCAAGGAACTGAATCTCGTCGGAAAATACTTTTTGAATTGACTTTATGACAGGTAATCAAGGGTACTTATAGCCTTTACATTAGTGTATCCGTCGTTAGCATGCTGATACATAATTTCCTGGCGATTACTGGGAGTTATAACACGTTGGCCTGAGGCGCTGCGACTTCTCACCTTTAGTCGATGCCATTTCACTTTTATAACTTACGAGTCGATGTGCAATCGACTCAATGTAGTGTTATAATGTAATGAGTCGATCTAGATGGCAATACAGGATTTACTCTTCGATATACTGCTGAGATGTCTGCCACATCCCAACACTCTTCAGTACGGTCTGGACTGCTAGCTACCGTTCATAGTTCTGCTATAGATGATCCATGAGGAAGATTCATATGGTGTTTCTTCCTTCCAATTTCTGGCAAAATCTATTTATCTTTACTCCGAAAAGAAGCACCAGACATCGGTCAGCAATTTATTTATAACTTTAGAGGATGGTCAAGGTTGTTTGCTTCCGAGCCACTGCACTAGATGCACATGTGATTGTAGCCATTCAGCCAAAATGCATCGGTTCTATTTAACATTACTTTTTCTGAATGGGGAATGACAATGCTCTTTGGTCTGCAGACTAAGCCGTCCAGGGTTATGGTAGAATCTCTCCAGATAAAGGAAGAAAATCATAATGGATTGAAGCCCTCTTCCCTCCACGTACTGATATTCCACCCGTTAACTCAACGTAACGAAAGTGATGTACTTACTAATAGCGAAAGGAACTCTCCTCCTCTTCTACCCACCAGCAGTGGTGAGTATCTTGTAACTCCACGCTGTAAGACGAAACGTTGGTAATGAATGGCAATGCCCTAGTCCTGAAGCACACGGCAACTCTATTTCTCCCATCAAGCCATGCAAGAAAGAAAGTATACACTGAAAGCCAGGGCAAGTGGAGAAAGCACAGGTTAATACCGAGAAGCAGGCTGGCCTACTCCTGCCAAAATAGTCTAAACGGCTAAGAACGGGGGGCGCTAGCCCAAGCGCTTGCGATAGTGAGCCTCTGAAGAAGGGAAAGGATCTCTAGTCATTCAGTAAAAGAAAGGAGACAGAGCTAGAGATAGAGCCCTTAGCTAATGAATGAGATGGTGAGGAGAGAGGCATACTTGGTTTCTCGGTTAACAAAGTAATTTACAATATTGAGCGTGGAGCTTCCACCAAGATCAGCAGTAGTTTATTGATGGAGAGAGATGCTTCTCTAGGTGAAATCGCTCATTGGCTACTAATGGGCATATTCCCAAAAATTCAATCAGATAGAACTGTTGAGAGTAAGAAACTTACGTTTTCAACTATAAAAACGATCAAATGGAGAGCAAAAGCCAATACACCAAACTGCCTCAACTGACTGATTGCTTGGACGAGAATGGAACAAACATGTCATCAATGGTAAAGTGCTAGAACTGTATAATTTACTGTTGATTGATCAAAGCTGGTACTATGCTGTATAAACCATTCAAGAAATCCCTAGTCATAAATACAGTAATCAAGATTCAAGACATTCTGATTCTCAATCAAGCCTTATGCTTGCTTCGAATGAAATTCAAGAGGTTGATAGAATGCAGAGAACGGTCTCAATTAAGTTATCCAAAAAAAGCAGCCTACTAAGGAACCGAGGGATAGTCGATTGGAGATAGGAAAAAGAAGAGATAGGAACTGGTTCGGCAAAAGGCACAAAGTAAAGTTTTAGATTGCATTTCCAGACCTGAAACAACTTTAAATTTGAATGTCTCATTCTCAGAGCCACATGGTCAGTAGTTGGCTAAGCCTTCGACGGCCAGGAAAAAACTCCATGAAGAGGTTTCTGAATTTGACACCTGCCGCACTATGATATCTACAGTATGCTTCTTTGGATCTTTAATTCAAGTTCCGTGATCAAACTTCCATCTATCAATTCAATGGTCGTTCCTCCTACCCACTCATTTTATCGATGGCCAGGAGCATTCCAGAGACAAATAATGATTTTCTTCTCGAGTAGCTATACTATTTTTTAGATTTGACGTTACATAGACGTGACATAATTGTCCGTGCCTCTGTTCCGGGGAGACTGCTGCCTCTGAATCGGTAAAGATAGCTTGTTCATTTTAGGTAAATGTAGTGAGCCCCCACGTTTATAATTCCTGAATCAACTCACCTGGCTGCTAGCAGAATTTAGGTGTTGTGAAATTTTCTGTTCAACAACACATGTTTTAGCATCTATTTATAGTTCGTCTCCAAGAGGAGATTTCAATGAGAAGGACGTTAACAGTTGAAGCAAAGGTAAATCCCTCTTCTGTTTAAAAAATTCTTCTGCGTCTGTTGTGAAGTAGGAGACTTTGAATTGGATGTGCCACCGGGCTTAATCAGTGCTGGAACAAGTCATTTTCAATAGCAACGAGCATTAAATCCACGCCTATCCTGTGGTTCTAATTGAACGTCTTATAAAGATCGTGTGGATGTATGTAAGTCAACGAAATAAAGGCATATCGAGTTAATGCATACATGTTGACGTGTAAAGATAACATTGGCTTGAGCGACAGGAAGAATACACTCTTCAAGGCATTGCGGGGAGCACGTGATGAAGACGAATTCATCTTACATAGGTCCTTTCCCCATCTTACATAGGTCCTTGTGTGTCTGAATATGTTCCTCTCTCCGCTATTTCTTCTGCATCCCCACTTGACTTCTTGTGATGCACTTAGCGTCTGTTGTGTAGAGATATAATACCAATTGTGACCACCCCTATTTTCTTCAGTATAGAACTTAAAAAAGTAAATAAGTCAGGGCACTGTTTTAGCCATTTTCCAATCGTGTTTAGCTTTAAGAAAAATGCGAACTGACTGTGCCAAGGCTTCTAATTCTAGAAATTGAACTACTTGCAGCTTTGTTTTCCTATCTCAAAGAACATGTCGCTGAATCAAAATTGTTTCCGTAGCACTCCTAAGTCTTTCTAGATACAGATGAAAAACTGTCTAGATGGTTAGTCACCCTAAATTCTTCTCACTTGTGGGGTACCCTCGGCATGTGTTATGGGAAACTTGTGAAGCAACATCATTTTGCAGCGTTTCCGTTTTCCCACTAATCCAGCCATCATGCCAAGATGCAAAATCACATGCTTCTCTAAAGATTTGAGTATGAAGGTTGATTCACGAAGGTTGCCTCCCCTAACTCTCTCCTTTGATGTCCCCGGCCAGTAGACTGCATTTAGCCTCGTTCAAAATCAGAAGTTGAACGGATATTGATCTAAAAGCACTCCATCGCAGTCAGAGGTTCAACTAACTGGTGTGGCACACATGCTATCCCATTGCCTCGTTGCTATGGAAGACGCCCTAAAGTAACTTGACAAAGCAATTTGCGTTGAAAACGTTTCTTGACATAGATATTACTTGATATGACATTTTGCCCATTTGTCTGAATGGCACAAAATGTTCGCCAAGTCCCTCCTAAATTATATACTTATTCGACAGATTATACTTTGATACGTGGATCACAGCTTCATTCGGGAAACTACTAAATTATAGCGTTTAAAATGAAATTCGACACTTTCCTCGTCATCTTCCCAAATGGTGCGCTAAAATGACTCCGCTAAAGATCAGCGTTACTCTTGGAAAACGTCCGGAGAGCGAAAAATAAGATCATTTCTGCAATGGCGAACAATGAAGGCGACGTGTTTCCCTTTTGCATGTCCCCTTTTCCCCTCCTATGCCTTCCTGTGCACGTCCCTGGATTTTTTTCACTGCAGAAGAATCGGAGACGGCTTTCTGACGGAGTATGTCACGGAGACAACCACTCAAAAACATGATGTGTCGGAGGAAACACATATTTGCTATTAGACTCGGACTTCACTAGTTACACATTAGACTTTATTGACCAATACAACTGTGCCACACGTTGTTACAACCTTTTACTGATATCAACTGTGCCACAGAACAGAGAAACAGGACAGTGTCTCTCGTCGAGAAGCACGAACACCACGCATCACTGTTTGTCCTCAGTAATCTACGGACAAGCCAGACCAATAGGCACCGTCACGCCGCAGTGATTCAGCAGCAGCGTAATGTCGCCTGGGATCCGAATATTGAGTCCAAGAATATTCGCTCGAAACGCCAGGCAGAGGCACGTGGCAAGGTTGCCGCTTGGAATCGACCTGATGATATTGCAACAAACCCCAGAGCCAGGTGCGATCCCCAAGAATTTAAGGAGTATGAGGATAGGAGCACACACAGTTAGTGATAAAATCTGAATCAGGCAGTTAGCTGGAGGAGGTGGCGGAGGTGGTGGTGTTGGTAGAGAGGATGAAGGTGCTGGAGCAGGACTAGCTGTGGGTTGGCCAGAAACAAATGTGAAGAAGAGTAAATTGAAGATGAGCAAGAGTGCTCTGGAAACACGAGAGTTTGAAGCCATAGTGTGAGCTAGATACCAGAAGCCCCGGGAAGGCCAGAACGAGGATATAAAGATGAGCTGGAGCTTCGAAGTGCATGTCTCAGCTGTGCAGTAGTTCACGGAATTTATAGATGGCCAGGGGAAGTAAGCGACCCTAATGAACAGTCGTTATCTTGGCAAAGACACAACTTGAAGAAAGAGAACCATTCCAACTCAAGTCGGAGTTAGAAATTGCTGTATTCCGTTGACTAATAATACTTATTAACTAAACCACTATGTCAACCACCTTATCTCAAATTCTAACGTCCTCCACAGTGTAAGATTAACAGAATTCAATGTTTAGCAGTAGTCAGCATCATGACAAGTGCACAGACTGATTCATAATTTTAAAATGTTCTGCTGTAGCAGCGCAATTGAATGGGATGGGCAGAGGTTATTGGTTAGTTTTACCATACTCTCCTATGAACGTTTCATGAAAAGGAGAAAAAACATGGGTTGAACAGCCTAACCTGTTTCGGTATTAATGATCATACACTAAGGACAATCACGAAAAATTCATATAAAGTGGACAGACATTCATGTCCTTTTGAACTTGACAGATGCAAAGCCAGACAGTAAATTAAGGGTCAGGCCTCAATTCATGTTGGCAGAGAATTTTGACCTGAACTTGGAGTTCTGACTAAGCACAGGCTTTCAGGGGCTAAAGTGAACTTGGATCCTCATCGGCGGACTAGGGATTGTGCGCTATTCAACATGGATGTACTTGATTACGGGGCCCCCTTGGGGAAGTTTTGTATTGCCTCTATTGGAATAGCTTCAAGATCCCGAGGTTGGCTCTGCCCAACCCACCAATGACGGCGTTGGCTGAGTGGAACTCCGCCCTGGAATTGAGACCGGAAGAAGAAGAGCAACGATTAAGGTTCGGATATATTTGTTCATAGCCAAAGGCAGGGAGACGCATTGTTACGTTTCGGCGTGGCATACCCAAGGAATGGGCTTAGAGGTTTCGTTGGGAATGTATTGTATCGACACAACATTGGGTACTCACGTTACCCCGCATGAGCAAATATTTTTGACTTACCAGGTGAAGTTACTTCCATCATCGAGTACATACGGGATTGGGATGGAGCGCTTCTCCATTTGAATCGAATTTGTTAAAATCAAGGGAGAGGGAGAAAAATAATGAAGTTCTATGAAAAATAGAATGGACTTGAAACTCCAGCCTCACATAAAACCTATTTTATATACGAAAGGAGGAAATCTTGGGTATTGATTGTACTTTTGGATCCAGATGCTATGTGAGGAGAAAGAAAAAGGGGAGATACTAGTTCGCACAGCGTTCCATTGAGCGTCTCCTCTCTCTTTGGGATTTTGTGTGTGCTCTTCTCTGCTTTGAGGTGGGTGGGGTCATTAAGAGGCTGATTAGAAGTCTTCTAAGTGCTTCTCTCTGTCCTCATTCTACTTTCCCATGTTCTCATCATCTATTCTGTGGCATATTCTCTTTTAGGCCAGCAGTACTATGTCTATGATCAGGCCACTGAAGAAAACATGACAATCCATCGGATAAAACCAACTTTCAGTCATGGAATGTCCTGCGAAATATCGAATACAGCAAATCTCGCAGTCACTATCTTCCCAAATGTCTTCACTTTCACTTTCGGCCGAACAGTGGCTGGCGTGTTGGTAACTAATCCGAAAACGAGTCATTTTTATCAAGAACTCAAGGACTTAAGTGATGCAGGACGAGATGATGAAAGTGACTAAACTACCAAGAAAAGTAATTTAGACTCTTGCCAAGTTCGAAAGATTAAGAAAGTTAAATAAGGTAAGATCTGAGTGCTCTCCTACAATAATATGAAATAAAAAGATTGATGTGATTAAGAAATCACCAATGATTAAGGTGCTCTTTAATTAATAAGTCAATTAGAAGCAAATTAAGTGGGTTATCACTCTTCATCAACCACCAGTTATGAAAATACTATATCCTCTTCTATGGATCACACATCAATATTACAAGATAAAATACTAAATGAACAAAATGCTCAAATTTGGAGAGAAAGGAATTTACAAAATAATCTTGTCACTAGAAGAGGATGTGGTGGAGGAGCACAAGTTGAAGCTGAACCTCACTTGTGAAAAGTTGACCTTATGTTGACCGTTGACCGTGTCAATTGACTATTGACCAGGCTGAACAGGTTGATCACCTGGACTGGCTCAAACCGGAGGGTGCGGCTTGTGTGAACCAGGTGGTCCAGCAGGAATCAAACCATCAAGATGAGCTGTAGTAGAAGAAGGGTCCAAGATGGTCCTACCCAGGACGGCAGGTGGACTCAGACCAAGTGGACGAGCCAGCTTGGACCGGACCAAAAGTGAGGCTGTCGGTTCGGGCTGAACCAGTTCGGTTCGTGCTAAACCGGATCGGTTTGGTGCACCAGTTCGTAATACTGTGAGCTAGGGCTTTCAGCCATACCAGTGGGGTAAAAAACGAACGGGTCGTGCGGGCGGAGGAAAGGAAGGCGGCGGCGGCGGCAGAAGAGGCTTAACGGACGGAGGCTAAGGTAGGGATGGTGTCAGCGGCGGTGACGGGGCGAAAGATGGCAGCGGACTACGGAGGTGAGGGCAGGGAATGCGGCAGCAGTGGTGGATGGTGATGGCCGACGGCGGTGGGACCGACGGGGCGGAAGGTGCCAGCGGACAGTGGCGGCGACGGCAATAATGGGCGCAGAGCGAACGGTGGATACTGGCGGCGGACAGTGGCTGAAGACAGGGACGGTGTGACGGGCGGTGGCGGATAATGGCGGCAACAATGGAGAATGAAGGTGGTGGACGGCTGGTGGGCGGCTGGTGGACGGAGGAAGGCGGTAGTGGGCGGCGGCGGCGATGTATGGCGGTGGTGGCGATGGATATGTGACCCTCACGGCCTCTCCTTGCAGAGCCAAATGAGGTAAACCTCAAAACTTCATTTTCTTCTCTGCTCTCGTACAAGGATCATGAGAGTATTTATAGAGTTCAAAAACAAAACAAATGGTGAAATTAAAGAACAAAGAAAATTGCTTCAGAACGGCTTGGGCCAGTGCGTTGTTGACGCGATCATAGGCTTCTTCTTCTTTGCTCCTCACCAATTTGATGCGGGACGAGATGATGAAAGTGATTAAACTACCCTAGAGAAGTAATTTAAACTCAACTCTTGCCAAGTTCTAAAGATTAAGGAGGTTAACTAAGGCTCCGTACTCTTTACGGACGAACAAGAAATTTCCCTTGACCAAAAACCAGAATCAAACAAGTTCACTGAGTACAAGAATTTGAAGGAAGTCGAGTTTTTCTGGGGTGGTTCTGAGTCTTCACTCCGGAACTCTACTGGGGATCCATGAGAACCCTGAATGCAACGGATCCCCAGTCCAGCTGTATCTCGCACCACGAAAAGGCCGCATAAGCGCAAAATGGGGAAACGAGATGACGAAAGAACGTGATATTTTTCCGCTGAAACCCTAGGAGGATGCGAAAGTGAGAACCATGAGAATAATGCAGTGAGGACGCGACAAACTGAAGCGGACGATTTGGGTACCGAAAGAACAATCGCGCGCGCAGATGGAGGATTCGTCCGACGTACCGTAGCTGCAGGGTGGTGAGGCTGCCGGCGGTGGCGGAGAGCGACAACCTCCGAAGAATCGGAGGACCTAATCCCCATGGAAGGTGGCGCTTCGCTGCTCAGCCGTGCCATTAAGAATCAGAGCCCACGGCAAAGCGCCGCTCACATGTTTCTCCTCTGCTCCTCTCCCCTCCCATCCACTTCACTGCTTATAAAATCTCCACTTAAAATACCCATCTTTGTTTCTAACGTCCCTCAACCCTTGAAAATATATAGATACAAGTAGCCTTGTTTTATTACCACTACCGGTGCTTCCCCACACCCAAGACGCAAAGTGACGAAGAACCGAGGACTGCAGCCCAGAAGGCCCAATACATTTGAAACGCCGTTCAAGAGCCCGAAAAGATGGCTTTATGGGCCGCAATTTGACAAATTTGGGCCCTTTCTATGTTAGCTAACCCAAAATTCTACGCCTCCCTGAATGAAAAGGCCCACTCATAGGTGACGATGAACTGCAGAGTGCGTCGAATGTGCGGTCCATGAGGGCCAGAGCAATGACCATTGAAGCTTGCTCCACTCCTGTGAAAATCTGAAGGTTGCTCTCCTCTGTGGAGCCCAAAATGTAGAAACTGTTTGGATGATCTTGATGATTGTTACATAAGAAACTAAAATCGTCTCTTTAAGCTCTGCACTTGTTTCGATTCTGTACTGACCCCTCAAAATATTTGAATTGGCTGTATATGCTCTAATCTGGTTTATAGTATTCTTTATTTTTTTACTGAGTTGATACTCATTATAGTTTAGAGAAGATGTCTAATATCTTGTGGGAACGATATATAATAACTCAGCACTACGACATGATGGTTAGATCATCAAAACTATAATTCAGATGAAATATTCTATTTTCTCATATGTCGACACATAGATTTTGTATTAAAATGTGTAGGTACATTTAAATTGATATGAGTTATAAGTTAAATATGTAAATAAAAACTAAAGTTCATTTGTTCAAAATCTAACATAGGAACTAGTGACCTTCTAATAAATTTTGATTTATCTTTAGTGTGCACTTGTCATTGCATTTAAATGCACACTATCTAATAATACTTATAACTAAGACTTACTCAAACATTAATATAGAAGTAAGTCTTAGGTTGAACATAGAGAGATTGATTAATCTATTGTGAAAACTAATTTAATTTATATATAAAGAAATTTTAATATTTTATTAATATTTAATGGGAATAATAAAATATAAGGATGAGATGAAAGAATAAAAGAAGAAAAGTGGAGAAAAGGAAGAGGGCAAAGAGAGAGAGAAGAGAAAGCTCTCACGACAAAAAGAAGGGATGAGATTTCTTGTGAAAGGGAGAGAAAGAGAGAGGAGGAGAGAGAACTCTCACGAGAGAGAGAAAGGATGAGATCTCTCGTG